GAACTTTGCAGTGCAACTTTTAACACAACAGCAGAGGAAGGCATAGTGCTCCCGGCACCATGGCACTTCCCTGTGGATCAAGGGGAGAAGGCTTGGGAAAACAGACACAACATTTTGGAGACTGATTTTTTTTTTTTTTTTTTACCTTTCCCATTTATCTTCTAAAAATCACATAAAAATAATTTGGCCAAGATACTTCAAATGTATTGTATTGCTTGCAAGTTTATAAGAAGCTTAACAAGAATGGGAGACTCTGGAGAACAGAAATACCTGCAAACAACATTCACATCCCTCTAGGGGCATCAGCCTCTTTGGATGGCTAGGGAAAATACTTTCTTTTTTTCATTTCTAAATATAGCGTATTACTTTCATTCTTTCTCAAGGCAGAGACAACAACCTTTGCTAACACCAATAAATAAATACAAATACTTATGCACAGCACTGCAGGGAATTATTAGTCTTTCCTTCTCCCCTCACTATACTATGTTTCATGGGAGGAGTTACTAACATTTTAGTAACATAATATACAAAATAAATAAATACATTTAGTTACAAAATATAAGTCGCATTATATTTAAAATGCAGCTTATTTTGGGTATCAATAATGAATATTTATTGATGAACTTACAAATATACTGCGTTCATATATTTAAAATGCAGCTTATTTTGGGTATCAATAATGAATATTTATTGATGAACTTACAAATATACTGCGTTCATATATTTATAATATTTATATAAGTATTTATAACAATTCTGTCATAATAATTGTATAATTATTAAGATATTTAAATAATAAGGCGTATTCTCTATTAATTTGTCTTCAGGAATCTATTTTGTATTTTATATTTAAAATGCAGCTTATTTTGGGTATCAATAATGAATATTTATTGATGAACTTACAAATATACTGCGTTCATATATTTATAATATTTATATAAGTATTTATAACAATTCTGTCATAATAATTGTATAATTATTAAGATATTTAAATAATAAGGCGTATTCTCTATTAATTTGTCTTCAGGAATCTATTTTGTATTTTACTGCAATACTCAAAATTCAGAACATTGTTAAATGTCTAGCATGATAAAGCGCTCATTAGACTATTCTCCTTCACCTTCTGCAAGACAAGAACCCCACGTCTTAGGACAGGCACCAGAGGCTCGCAGGTCCCGTCGGGCATTATGAGCCCCCCCCGGGACACTCAGTTAAGGCCCCAGCCCCCCGTCCTGCGATGGCAGCTCGCAGCCGTTTGTGTCCTAACCACGGCTGTGTCCCAGCGCAGGCGCCGCATCCCCCGCTGCAGCTCTGCCAGGCAGCCGCAGCCAGGGCACAGAGGGCTTTGGTTTAAAGACCGGGGCTGGCCCTGGGTTAGGCCTCGCTGCGGAGGACGCCGGAGATACCCACAAGCAGGCAAATATGTGGGACCCACCTCAGGTCTTCCCACATTCCCGAGGTGGGAGCTCAGCTTCACTCCGTACAGCGACTCCTGGTTCACCCTGGTTAGAGCTGAGCTCTGCTCGAGCTATTGCTGTCGCAAAGCAATTCTCAGATTTGGCAATCTCTCTCCTTCCCTCCCCTAATACCTCCCAAGGCAACATACTTGCCGACGCAGGACGCTGGGCAAGGTGCAAACATCAGCCCGGTCACAGCTCCCCTGGGACAGAGGTGAACAGCAGCAGCGTTTGCAGCCTGCAGTGGTGCTGAGCAGCCTGAGGAAGGCCACGGGGTTCCTCCTGCCATGCCAGGGACCGGTAGCAGACCTGGCAAAGGAAGGTCTGAAAGTCAAACGCAGCAAAACCAAGGCTTCTTCCTCCCAGCTAGCACTGAACCACCATTGCTCTTCAGGCTAGAGAGCTGCAGCCTCCCCTGGCATCGCCCAGACTGGAACACCTTCTTTAAGAAGGGTTAAAAACAAATGCCCACCCAGCCTGGTGGAGTTTGGAAACTCTGCACATGGAGGAATTTCTTTCTGCTCCATCTGGGTCCGGGTGATGGCCTGAAGCACGAGCTTTAAATACCCCTGAACCAGTAGTGCAAACATCAGCATTATTTGCAGCCTTCTGTAAAAAGTACCACTGCAGCATCCTACTAGACAACCTGCCGGAGCACAGAGAATTGTAACACCACCGAAAAGTGGGGCCAGGGAACAGCCTCCCCACGGCCCGGAGCCGAAGGGCATGAGTGGAGATCTAGACTGCCATTCGTTTCCCAAGTGCCAATGGGAAAACTGTTTTTTCTGTGACTCCATTTCCCCTTTATCGAAAGGGAATGATAAAAATACCTCTCCTCAAAATGTGGAAGGGCTGCTTGTGATCTGCTCAGATGTCCCAGGGATGAAAACGCACCGCTTGGTCCCCGTTATTTTACCCCATCCCCCAGCCATTGGCAAAGCCTGCAGGTTGCTCTGTGCTCTGGCACAAGCCAGGATTGGGCCCGGGGATTCTCCAGGCAGGGGTTTCAGTGGCTCTGAGGGTCAGTGGCTGTTCAAGCTCGGCCCCTCTAGAAAGAAAACAAATAGAAACACCTGAGCTGTTTGGAACTTGAGAGCAGAGCCCTGAGCTCAGCTACCAGAGGCACTCTAGGTACAGTCCCACCACCTCTGGGGCACAGCTGACATGGAGGGCCACTGCTGTTAAAGAGGTCCTCACCTAAGGTAGGATGTTACTCTTACAGGTAGGAGAACCACTCTCTACACTTAAAAATAAATAACATTTAACCAAGGTCCATAAAAACTAAAACATATCAATCATAATGGTCTCATTGTTATGATTTTCCAAATGCCAGACCTGAGGTCACATTGAGAGTCTTCATTCTGTATTTCCTTCTCTGAACCTTTCAGCATTTCTGAGTTAATGATTAGAAATGATCAGAAACTTTCAAGAGAAATTTTCCTCTGTATGTCATCCCCCAGGCACCAACCAGGCACAGTGAAACACGTGGTTTCAGCTGGCTTCTTCCCTGATATTGTTTGGGAGCCCAGCTGGAAATGTTTGGAGCCGTTGGAGCTTTTCCACACACTCCGTGCAGGAGGAAGACACTTGCCAGGCTTCCCTGTGCCTGGACACTCACACGTAGCACGAGTTTCCTTTCCACTTCTCCACCCAACCGTGGGAAGCCTAAGGGAACTTCATCACCCCAGGGCTCGCTACTCTTCCTCCTCATTTGGCAGCATCTACAAAAGGGTTCAAAACTGAGTAGGAAAGGGGTCCCTCCACACGCTGCATTGCCGTGGGAGTCCCTAAAGGACTTCTTATGCACTGAATTTTGAAATCATTGAAATGAGCCATTTCTGTTTACTTGAACCATTTTTTCCCCAGATTTTTCAGTTCATGAATATGTGTTCTTTTTCAAGTTTTGTCTTATTTGAAATGAGAAACTGTTTCCTTGTCTGCAGAAACTTTGCAGAATGGGAAAACAGCTCATGCTGAGGGCTCTGTCGATAATGTGTGTTTATAAGATAATGGTACTGTGGCTGTACTCTTTCGGTTCTGCATAATTTGTATCAATGTTCAATTTGGTTATAGAAAAGGTGAAAGCAAGGAGCAGGCAAAGTGTTGTAGCTGACACAGATGATTAAGTTAATCCAAGTTAGGAAGCCACTGTGAACTATATGTAGCAGGAGCTGATGGGCTGCGTGCGAAGTCAAGGGGAGCCTGGACACAGATAAGCTCTGCAGACAAAAGGAGGAATTCAGTGCCTGTTCTGTAGCCCCATTTCATGCTCAAAAAGCATCTAAACTCCTTGGGGCCATGAGTTCCCCCCAGCCACTCCTGAACCTGAGATCAGTAAGGTAAAGGCTGGAGGAGAGATGTGCAGGGAGGGCAGAAGGCAGCTGGGGGCAAGCCCAGTCCACGAGCAGGGAGCAGAGCAGCCTCCAGCTCAGCTCTCCTTGCCAGGAGACACAGGACAACGCTTGCTGCTGTTCCAGCCTGGCGTTGGGGCAGTCGTGTTTTTTCTTCCACTTTCCTTCTCCCTCTGTCTCCCCGAGCTCCTGGTCGGTACTTGCAGGTGTCCTGCTGCTGGCTGACCAAGACTGGCCAGCACTGCCTGCACGCCTGGGGCACTGCCCTCAGATTGGATCGCTCCTCAAAATGGAAGTGCTGTCTTCTATTCTGGTCAGGCTTTCAGAGACCAGATATAAGCCAGGAATGCTAGAAATGTCCAGGAACCAGGAAAGAAGGAAATACAGTAGTCTGATGAAGGCATAAAGAACAGAATAGAACCGTCCCTGCAGTAGCATTGTGCAGAGTCAGTCTCCCATGGATGCTGGAGAACTTCCACTGGTCCAAAAGATGTGCTCTCTGGGGCATTACTCCTTCCAGGAGTTCATTACTGCTCTACAGATGTTAGCACTTGTCTCCAAGGTTCTGAAACATTTCAAAGGGAAATCAAGAGGCATTCGACTCTTCTGTCAGAGTGCACCGAGCGGTCACGTTAGCACTCTGCCACACTGTTCCCCATGGGGCGAAAGTTGTGCCCAGCCCCTAGCCCAGCATCCTGCCTGCATGCCTGAGCACGTGCCACAGGTCGTTCGAGGTAAGATGAGGGGCTCGGGTTTGTCACCGCTGACTGACCTGCCCAGTCGCATCCTGTGTATGTGTGTCTCTTGGCGTCAGAAATATAACATGAGCTGCTGTCTTAACCCAGCTCTGTCTGCTGGTTTCTCTCTCCACAGTCTGGCATGGGGCTCTTTCACCTGCTGCATGGCGGCCTCCGTTACTACCTTGAACTCTTATACTAAGACTGTCATTGAGTTCAGACACAAGCGCAAAATCTTTGAGCAGGGCTTTCGAGAAGAGCAGAACTTCCTAGACCAGGAAGCCATCAAGTACTTCAGAGAAAGGTCAGTGCAGTCAGTCGCTCGATCAGTGGAGGTTTTCATGGACTCTGCTAGTCTCAGAAAATCCAGGCTCTCACCCATTTCAGCACATGTGGGTGAAGTCTCTGAGATACTTGGAGAAGATGTGTGTTAAAGACAAACACAAAAGATCCTCCTTGATTTGTTTTTTCTTAAATTCTGTGATGTCCCAGTGCCTGCCTTTTCTTATACACTCATTAAAACACAAGACTGACAAGTCCTCACAATATGCATTGGATTCATAGGAATTCATAAGAAGCTATGCTGCCAAGGCAAGCCGATTGTCCCTCTCTGGAAAGGTAAAATTGTGGGGATACAACAAATGTTACAGCCATCCTTTCTCGGCACGTGTAATAGGCACCTCCCAATAATCCTGACGGCTGCTGGGACATCTTCCAGGCACCACTAGGCCCCTTTGGAGTTGCCATCTTCCATAGTCACATGCCTACAACCCATCCTAGGCTCCTCCACACAACCCATCCCCCTGAGCTCCTCCACACAAGTATAGCGCATACATCCTATTGCACTGCAGAAACGTCCACACAGTGCCACCCACACTGCTACCGGGGTCTTAGGTGGACTCTAAGTCCTGTCTGGGCCATGAAGGCCCAGAGACACTCCTTCACTCTGCCCACCCGCCGCACTGCCGACCCCGTGCACCCTTCGTTGGCCCATGCGGCTGCACTGGGATACTTGCTGCCCTCATTCTTTCGTGAGAAGGTTAAGGCTTTGCTTAAAATTGCAGAATGTGAAGAACACACAAATATTGACTTCACACAGCAGGGAAGGTGTGATGGATTCCATAGGGGGATTCCACTTCACAGAGTGAGGAGCTGATAAGTACAGAGAATCCTCACTGAAAGCCTATTGTTGGAAGTAACATAAAGATATTTTGGGGACAGAAAACATAAGGAGGATTCATTCTTGTTCTTCTGACCGATGTGGCAGTTTCTCAGTGGTGGAAGAGAGTGTTTGGGAAGCTCTGAGGAGGCAGAAGATTTAAAATGATCAGCCACTTCAGTAGCCAAGTGAGGAGTTGTCCTAAGCAGGAAGAACTAGAGACCTTCCATGCATATTGCTTTGTGTTGGTTACCCAACCTTAACTGATAGTCTCTGTTGTTACAGTTATTCCTCTGCCAACTTCCAAGTTTTCACTCTACCTTTTAGTCTGGAAGGATGAGAGAAGTTATTCAAACAACCATGATTTTCCTAATTTTGCATTTAGAGATGACAGTGAATTTTTTAATGAAAAAAAACCCACCTGAAAAAACACCCCAACCACAGCGAAGGGGAAGTGGTCAGCACGTGCCTCAGGGGAAATCAAGGCTCAGTGAGGGAGAACAGTCAGCTGAATGGCTGAAGTGAGGATTGCAGATGAGAGACCGGCAGAATTGTAAGCAACAGAATATGTTGAGCTACATTGGGAAATGCTAAGGAAACATGATAAAGTACCACTATGGCCTTTCTGGAACAGTAAATAGCAAAAAACATTAGTGGCATAAAGGACAATAACCCTCTTTATCTCACATCTGTATTGTGCGTTTTGATTTTGACTCCTCTCACACTTGCCATATTACACAGGCACCCCCCGCACACCCATTTTTACATACGTGTAAGACAATACTGCCTAAGACTTTACAATCAAATTCATGTTGGACTAGTTGTAATCTGAGAGACCTTCACCCCAACACACTCGATAAACAGGCAAAGGGCCCCAAAGAATGACAACAAGCCGAACGCAGCGTCGAGGCTTTTTCAGGTCTCTTGGGAGAAGGTTTGATCTTACTTAGCAACTAGCAGGGTGTTGAACACACATGTGCCCAAGATGACAAGTCCCACCTTGGCCAGTACAAACCAATGCGTTTTTTAACTCTTCTTTTATACGTATCATTCAAAAAAATCTCCGTACTAGGCAACATGCATACAGAACAGCCTGTTCCTTGTGACTGCTCTGTGTACTGGCCGGAGCCACTCTGACCAGTATAGAGCGACAATACTTTGTCTCTACCACTTGCTTTCTGACTGGACTGTATGTTTTGTTCTGTCCTTCCAGATTCCTTGCTCGTTTTGAATTTGTGTGAACAATTCACTGGTCGGTCACATCCTCCAACCCCCCCCCCCCCACATTTGGCAAACACAGCTCAAGCATGTGGTGTTCCCAAACTTCATGATTATGACTTTCTTTTTTTATATCACATTATTTTAGCTGTTTTATCTGAATACACAATAAGAAGCCCAGAGACAGTGTTACCATGGGATCATTCCAGAGATTTAAAGCTCTGCAGCATTACATCCATTTTTTTTTTAAGTTGTCATATGCATGGTCAGCTTCACTGCTGTGACCTGAGAATACTCTGAGACTGCAGGGGGTCCAGGGATCACCAATTGCTAGATGCTGCGGGTGCCAGCAGTCCCAGCAAGCACACAACTCCCCCTGCCTCCCATCTTCCCTTGCACAAATAGAAAATAACTTAGATTCTCTTTCCTTCCTGTGCACATTCCCAGGGATACCTCATATTCCCTCCTACTCCTACACCTCCATGTTCTTTTTCATATCTCATAAATAAAACCCTCCAGCCTTTCCTCCTTCCAGTTACTTTATACATATCACTGCCCTCTTCTTTGCATGTTCCTCTAGCTCGGTACGCATCCAGCACCCGCTGCACACACGCATCTACCTCTGTGCTGAATAAACTTAGTGCAATAGGCAGTTTTCTAAGAGCAATATATTCTAGTGAAATTTAAGGCTTTATCATTATTCTCCACAGCTGCAGTTTATCTTCAGGGAGACAGGGAAGAAAAGCATTAGCCCCATTTTGTCTGATAAAAGTTTTTTGTTGGAATATACTTCGACAGGCCCCTGCTCCCAGAGAAGAAATTTCCTTTATGAAAAATACTGACAGTAAAATACCACTAATCTCACAAGTACTTTGTCAAATGTAGTATCACCGTATTTCATTTAATTTGAATCACGTGTAACTGTATATCACAACAGAAGATTTACTAGAGACCTATTAGATGAAAGAGACCTATTAGATGAAAGAGCTGAAATGTTCCCTTGAGAGCTCCCAATTCAAAAATTGTGCACCATGTTGACCACCCGCTGCAGGAGACGCAGGGGATGCACCACATCAGTGCCCGGCTTGCTGTCCTGACCCGCTCCCTCCCCGTCACTCACCCCATCCCCTCCCCTAGCCCGTCAGCCCCCCGCAGCCCGCAT